TATGAAAGATAGTTGGTATAAGAGAAGGATTATTGATAATTAAAAAGAAATTTAAAAAATATTATTTTCAAGGTATCAAAAAGGTTTTGTATTTTATGTAACAACATAGGGTTATAACAAGTTCACGCTGTAGCATCAGCAGTTACGCTTCATAGAAGCAGAACATAGGGGGGGAAAGGAAGAATTGAAGCTATTAGGATAAGAAAAAAGGCAAAGACAGAACCATGTTAAACTTTTTAGTTAAATACTTAGTTAAACACTTTAGTGATCAGGATGAAATCGGTCAATGGTTGGTGGTAGTGTCTTGTCCAATGATTGGTGGGTGCTGCTAATTAATGTTCTTCAAAATAAAATGGTTATTGGACATTTTAAAGTTTGTTTCATTTTGATTCCGGGTTGAACTACGCCAATATATTTAATAATTTGTAACATCTTTAAAGGTTAGACTTTTCATTGGCTTATCAAAGAATATTTTTGATGACTTTTATATATATAGGGATATCAAGAAGCTCCATCCAGATGGGACACCTGTCAATCATCCCTGGACCCCGGGGCGGGGGGGAAGACCACAGGTGTGAGGGGTTCTCGAACCTTATCTGCAAATAAGGAAAACGGAACCTCTCGGTGGCTGACGCCGTTCATTATTAATATCTTTACCTGATAATAAGTTGTTTTTATCATCTGTCTCGCTCTCTCCCTTAAATACCTCTTGTAAATAATTTTATTGGAGAACTAAAAGGTAAATACCCTTTATAATAAATTAATTATCCCCAAATTTGCCCTTGCTTTATTTATCTCCGCGACAATATTAATAACTCATGAAAACGGTGTTAACCTTACTACCCTGAACACTCGGATTTTCCTGGAAAATCTCTTGAAGATTTCTTGAAAAAGACATGGCCCACCTCTGCTGTGTGAGCAGAAGAGCTTAAATTGACTTGTTCCATATGTAAATACCTGTTTTCTTTCCTCTTTTCACTCTCCACTTCTCCCATCCATATTTCCTTTTTTTTTTCTTCTTATTTTTTTTATTCTTTCTTATAATCTACTTATATATTTGCCTTATTCTGTCTGTTTGTCTGTTTGTCTGAAGCTCACGGATAGAATGCGCGCTCATTGGCTGCCAGGGAACACGTGTCCTCCCTGCCCCCCTCTAGACAACCCTGTTATTCAAAAACCATACATCCAATCGCCATGAAATTCTGGGATATTATTAGGTATATCCCCGGAAAGGTTTTCGAAAAATAATTTCTTGAATATCTTGAATATCCTTAGAGTTATTTGCAGAATTGTAGATATAACTCGCAAGCAGCGCCGCCAGACGGTGATAGGCCTAAGCTTGCTGCTCCACCCCTGTTGACCTTGGGTCATCGTGTGAGTCACAGCATGATGCAACAAAAAACACTCTCTCTGGGGATTACGTAGAGGTGATATATATTTTATTATATAATTATAATTCGAATAATATATTCGCACTCGGGTGGGTAAACCCCGGGCGTTGCCGGGCCATTCGTCTAGTCTGTATATATTTACCATATGTATATAATCTTTCTCCATTTTTTATTTCCCACTTTCATAGGTTTCTCCGTCTTGTAACCCCAAGGAGAATCCTCTGTAAGACCTGTGTGTCTTAATAAAGGCTTTTGTGTGTGTGTATTAATAACTCATGATAGCAATGAATAACTTCTAATTATTTTGTCACATGTCCAGTAAGATTTTATATATTGTTTTATATATAATTTTGAAAAAAATCTTCAAATTGAAACATTTGTTATTGTCATTTGCAAGTTTTTCTTGGGCTATTTCAAGCAACAATTGAAACCTTAGGCTTAATTTTAAAGAATCTGAACTCTGTGTCAAAACCACAGAGTTCCCACAACAAGCATTAATTTCGTTTCTCAACAATAAACTGAAATCAAACAGTCTGCATTAGCAAATTATTCTAACGTTTTTCAACGTGTCACATTTTATTGCTGTTTCTGCGTTCTTATAGAACAGAATCAAATTTAGTTTGAGACCTAACTGAACCAAGAACTAAACTCACTTTATTGACTAAAGTTCTCAGCTCCACCTCAAACAACTACAACAAATTTCTTATTTATCGACTTATTTATTTGGATTGACGAAGATAAGCGCGTTTTGGCAAGAGTAATTTATGAGAATATTACACATATCTAATGCGCCTTTTTACTAATCCCAAGTATAGATGTTACAGACCAAGATAAACATGGTGGTTAGTTAGCATCTGCTTTTACTGCAAGTGTACTACGTTTACACATGTAGAAGCAGCTATACTTTCGGCTCTTATTAAATGTGTTTATGTTAAATCCTGTATTGTTACTCGCATTCATTAGTGAGATTGAATGTGAGAATGCAAGTCCATAGCATTAAAGCAACCTAGTATATATTTTTAAAATAAAAACTTTATAATGTAATATTTAAAACCTCGAAATAAATCGTTACTGGCTATCACAAACATCAATCTGGAGCCGATATTTGAATTTTATTAATAATAATCCAATAATTTTTCTTCTATACATCCTGATATAATCTTCCCAATGTCTTGGTCGGTGCATATGCTTCCACACGTCATACAAATGGATTCTGCTGCGTTGTCTTCAACTACTACTCTAAGATAAGTGAAACGTTTCTGTGTGAATATATATTATCATAATTTATTCGTGAAAATAAAAAAAAAAATCGTATAAGAGAGCTTTATAACGATTTTTATACATAGAGAGAGAGAGAGAGAGATTTTGAGATTTAAAAATATTTTATTGACCTCATACACAAGTCAATGGTAGTAGTATATAATAATTATAAAAAGAGGGAAAAGAGGGATAAAATAAAAGAGTAAAATATATACAGTTATGTACAGTCGAGGAGATTCCCCCAACGACAGAGAGTCCTCCTCCAGACAGAGAGAGAGAGAGAGAGACAATTTTTTTTTTGACAATTAACATATTTTTATTGACATCTTGAGAGGAGCCTGGAGGAAGCCGCGGTGCTGCGCGGGACGGCTACGCCGTTCTTGTGCATCAACACACGCACTGCGCGTCGCATGTTGGAGCGTCCCCGCCTGGCCGCCGTTCCCATCTCGCGGTATCTCCGGCGCTGGGCGCCTGTCATCGACGTGCCCTCCACCAGCCTGGCGTTTTCATCTCTCCGTCGCTGCTCTTTCGGGGGCCATGCAGCGGGCATCACTCTGCGGCTGGCCCTGCCAGGACTTATAGGAAAGTGCACAGTCCGCACTAATTATGAGGAATTAACATGAAAAAACGAAAAAATAGATATAAACAATCGGTTATGTACAATGACATTGTACATGCCGCCTCAGCCACCGCTGCAGAACTTGGTGGAAGATTGCCAGTGGGTCTCCAGCGATACCACGCATTTCGCGATCTACGAAGAAAACGTATATCGCATTATCGCATGCTTCGCCGCTGAGGAGATGGTGATTGCATGGTCCTCGAGGCCCACCGCGAATATCCAGGACTGCAGGTCCGGCGGCCGCCCGATGATGGAGAACACCTCTCGGATGAGAGGGCGGACGGCGCTGCAGGACCAGTAGCGGTGGGCCAGCGACAGATCGCTGAAGCCGCAGGCGATGCAGACAGGCTGGCTTGACGCCGGGTGCCCCGGATGAGGTAGTACGTGCAGGGCCAGCCGCAGAGTGATGCTCGCTGCATGGCCCCCGAAAGAGCAGCGACGGAGAGATGAAAACGCCAGGCTGGTGGAGGGCACGTCGACGACAGGCGCCCAGCGCCGGAGATACCGCGAGATGGGAACGGCGGCCAGGCGGGGACGCTCCAACATGCGACGCGCAGTGCGTGTGCTGATGCACAAGAACGGCGTAGCCGTCCCGCGCAGCACCGCGGCTTCCTCCAGGCTCCTCTCTTGATGCGAGCTCTCCACGTTTTCCGCTACCAGACGCCGGCAGAAAGGAACAAGGGCGGCTGCATCGTGGCAGGTGTTCCTCGTCACTCTGGTGGTGAGCGACGGAGCAGGGCCCTGAGAGAGAGAGAGAGAGAGAGAGAGGGTCAAGAATCAGGGCAAACTTCATTAAGAACAAAGATGATGTGAGAGGAACGGTAACAAAACAGGCCGTAGAATGTCATCAACGTGCGGTTGTGCTGTCAGGGTGCTAGAGATGACTACCAATGGGGTCCTGCTATTAAATAAAATAGCACCCCAGACCATAACGCCCTGTTGTGGACCTGTGTAGTTTTCAAAAGTAAGGCCAGAATCCACCCGCTGCCTAGGACGTCTCCAGACACGTGTGCGATGGTTGTCAGGACACAGTAAGAAACGGACTCGTCACTAAAGACTATACGTCCCCGGTCAGTACAGTTCCAAGTTGATCGCTCCCGACATCAATGTAGTCGGACTTGTCGGTGTACGGGTGTGAGAGCTAGGCATTGTAACGGTCGGCGAGCTCTTAGATACCGCTCTCTCAATCGTATGTTATTGGCCATTTTGGGCACTTGTATGCCGGTCAACTTTGGATGGTGCTGCAACTTTGTTCTGTTGTGTCCCTTGGTCGACCGCTGCTGTCCTAACGTTGCATTCTTCCGTTTTTGATCCACTCTTTCCAACATCGCCTAATAGCCGCATTACTTCGGACACACACAGATGTGACGTGATTAATCGATTTGACCAACCAGCCTCTTTCAAACTCTTACATATGTTCGTAATGAGTACGAATCTTTCGGCGAGGCATTGATGCAGTAAAAATAGGTGTAGTGCAAAAAAAAAAATTAAACGGAAATTTTAAAAATAAATTTAGAGTCTAGAAGATTTAGTTTAGAATACTCGGGTTGGA